AGGAGAGAGAGGGTGACAGACTGCAGAGACACAGGAGAGAGGAGGGTGACAGACTGCAGAGACACAGGAGAGAGGGTGAGGGTGACAGACTTCAGAGACACAGGAGAGAGGAGGGAGACAGACTGCAGAGACACAGGAGAGAGGGAGGGTGACAGACTGCAGAGACACAGGAGAGGGGAGGGTGACAGACTTCAGAGACACAGGAGAGAGGAGGGAGACAGACTGCAGAGACACAGGAGAGAGGAGGGTGACAGACTGCAGAGACACAGGAGAGAGGAGGGTGACAGACTGCAGAGACACAGGAGAGAGGAGGGTGACAGACTTCAGAGACACAGGAGAGAGGAGGGTGAAAGACTGCAGAGACACAGGAGAGAGGAGGGTGACAGACTTCAGAGACACAGGAGAGAGGAGGGGTGAAAGACTGCAGAGACACAGGAGAGAGGAGGGGAAAGACTTCAGAAACACAGGAGAGAGGAGGGAGAAAGACTTCAGAAACACAGGAGAGAGGAGGGTGACAGACTGCAGAAACACAGGAGAGAGGAGGGTGACAGACTGCAGAGACACAGGAGAGAGGAGGGTGACAGACTGCAGAGACACAGGAGAGAGGAGGGTGAAAGACTGCAGAGACACAGGAGAGAGGAGGGAGAAAGACTTCAGAGACACAGGAGAGAGGAGGGTGACAGACTGCAGAAACACAGGAGAGAGGAGGGTGACAGACTGCAGAGACACAGGAGAGAGGAGGGTGACAGACTGCAGAGACACAGGAGGAGAGAGGAGGGTGACAGACTGCAGAGACACAGGAGAGAGGAGGGTGAAAGACTTCAGAGACACAGGAGAGAGGAGGGTGAAAGACTTCAGAGACACAGGAGAGAGGAGGGTGACAGACTGCAGAGACACAGGAGAGAGGAGGGTGAAAGACTGCAGAGACACAGGAGAGAGGAGGGTGACAGACTGCAGAGACACAGGAGAGAGGAGGGAGAAAGACTTCAGAGACACAGGAGAGAGGAGGGTGACAGACTGCAGAAACACAGGAGAGAGGAGGGTGACAGACTGCAGAGACACAGGAGAGAGGAGGGAGAAAGACTTCAGAAAAAGGAGACAGGAGAGAGGAGGGTGACAGACTGCAGAAACACAGGAGAGAGGAGGGTGCAGACTGCAGAGACACAGGAGAGAGGAGGGAGACAGACTGCAGAGACACAGGAGAGAGGAGGGTGACAGACTGCAGAAACACAGGAGAGAGGAGGGTGACAGACTGCAGAGACACAGGAGAGAGGAGGGTGACAGACTGCAGAGACACAGGAGAGAGGAGGGAGAAAGACTTCAGAGACACAGGAGAGAGGAGGGTGACAGACTGCAGAAACACAGGAGAGAGGAGGGTGACAGACTGCAGAGACACAGGAGAGAGGAGGGAGAAAGACTTCAGAAACACAGGAGAGAGGAGGGTGACAGACTGCAGAAACACAGGAGAGAGGAGGGTGACAGACTGCAGAGACACAGGAGAGAGGAGGGTGACAGACTGCAGAGACACAGGAGAGAGGAGGGAGACAGACTGCAGAGACACAGGAGAGAGGAGGGTGACAGACTGCAGAAACACAGGAGAGAGGAGGGTGACAGACTGCAGAGACACAGGAGAGAGGAGGGTGACAGACTGCAGAAACACAGGAGAGAGGAGGGAGACAGACTGCAGAGACACAGGAGAGAGGAGGGTGAAAGACTGCAGAGACACAGGAGAGAGGAGGGTGACAGACTGCAGAGACACAGGAGAGAGAGGGGGACAGACTGCAGAGACACAGGAGAGGGGAGGGAGACAGACTGCAGAGACACAGGAGAGAGGAGGGTGACAGACTGCAGAGACACAGGAGAGAGGAGGGTGACAGACTGCAGAGACACAGGAGAGAGGAGGGTGACAGACTGCAGAGACACAGGAGAGAGGAGGGAGAAAGACTTCAGAGACACAGGAGAGAGGAGGGTGACAGACTGCAGAGACACAGGAGAGAGGAGGGTGACAGACTGCAGAGACACAGGAGAGAGGAGGGAAAGACTGCAGAGACACAGGAGAGAGGAGGGTGAAAGACTTCAGAGACACAGGAGAGAGAAGGGTGACAGACTGCAGAGACACAGGAGAGGGGAGGGGGAGACAGACTGCAGAGACACAGGAGAGAGGAGGGTGACAGACTGCAGAGACACAGGAGAGGGGAGGGAGACAGACTGCAGAGACACAGGAGAGAGGAGGGTGACAGACTGCAGAGACACAGGAGAGGGGAGGGTGACAGACTGCAGAGACACAGGAGAGAGGAGGGTGAAAGACTTCAGAGACACAGGAGAGAGGAGGGTGACAGACTGCAGAGACACAGGAGAGAGGAGGGAGACAGACTGCAGAGACACAGGAGAGGGGAGGGTGACAGACTGCAGAGACACAGGAGAGAGGAGGGTGACAGACTGTAGAGACACAGGAGAGAGGAAGGTGACAGACTGCAGAGACACAGGAGAGAGGAGGGTGACAGACTGCAGAGACACAGGAGAGAGGAGGGTGAAAGACTTCAGAGACACAGGAGAGAGGAGGGAGACAGACTGTAGAGACACAGGAGAGAGGAAGGTGACAGACTGCAGAGACACAGGAGAGAGAGACTGCAGAGACACAGAGACAGGAGGAGAAAGGGAGAAAGACTGCAGAGACACAGGAGAGAGAGGAAGGTGACAGACTTCAGAGACACAGGAGAGGGGAGGGTGACAGACTTCAGAGACACAGGAGAGAGGAGGGTGAAAGACTGCAGAGACACAGGAGAGAGGAGGGTGACAGACTGCAGAGACACAGGAGAGAGGAAGGTGACAGACTTCAGAGACACAGGAGAGAGGGAGGGTGACAGACTGCAGAGACACAGGAGAGAGGAGGGTGACAGACTGCAGAGACACAGGAGAGAGGAGGGTGACAGACTGCAGAGACACAGGAGAGAGGAAGGTGACAGACTTCAGAGACACAGGAGAGAGGAGGGTGACAGACTTCAGAGACACAGGAGAGAGGAGGGTGACAGACTGCAGAGACACAGGAGAGAGGAGGGTGACAGACTTCAGAGACACAGGAGAGGGGAGGGTGACAGACTTCAGAGACACAGGAGAGAGGAGGGTGAAAGACTGCAGAGACACAGGAGAGAGGAGGGTGACAGACTGCAGAGACACACAGGAGAGAGGAGGGTGAAAGACTGCAGAGACACAGGAGAGAGGAGGGTGAAAGACTTCAGAGACACAGGAGAGAGGAGGGTGACAGACTGCAGAGACACAGGAGAGAGGAGGGTGAAAGACTGCAGAGACACAGGAGAGAGGAGGGTGAAAGACTGCAGAGACACAGGAGAGAGGAGGGTGACAGACTGCAGAGACACAGGAGAGAGGAGGGTGACAGACTGCAGAGACACAGGAGAGAGGAGGGTGAAAGAGGAGACTGCAGAGACACAGGAGAGAGGAGGGTGACAGACTGCAGAGACACAGGAGAGGAGGGTGACAGACTGCAGAGACACAGGAGAGGGGAGGGAGACAGACTGCAGAGACACAGGAGAGAGGAGGGGAAAGACTGCAGAGACACAGGAGAGAGGAGGGTGACAGACTGCAGAGACACAGGAGAGAGGAGGGTGACAGACTGCAGAGACACAGGAGAGAGGAGGGTGAAAGACGCAGAGACACAGGAGAGAGGAGGGTGACAGACTGCAGAGACACAGGAGAGAGGAGGGTGACAGACTGCAGAGACACAGGAGAGGGGAGGGAGACAGACTGCAGAGACACAGGAGAGAGGAGGGTGAAAGACTTCAGAGACACAGGAGAGAGGAGGGTGACAGACTTCAGAGACACAGGAGAGAGGAGGGTGACAGACTTCAGAGACACAGGAGAGAGGAGGGTGACAGACTGCAGAGACACAGGAGAGAGGAGGGTGACAGACTGCAGAGACACAGGAGAGGGGAGGGAGACAGACTGCAGAGACACAGGAGAGGGGAGGGAGACAGACTGCAGAGACACAGGAGAGGAGAGGGTGAAAGACTTCAGAGACACAAGAGAGAGGAGGGTGACAGACTGCAGAGACACAGGAGAGAGGAGGGTGACTGGATGCAGAGACACAGGAGAGAGGAGGGGGTGACTGGATGCAGAGACACAGGAGAGAGGAGGGTGACTGGATGCAGAGACACACTAGAGAGCTGGATGACATGATGCCAAGAGACACATGAAATAGGTGCACTCCTCCCTTGTACAGCAAGATTGGATTGGTTCCTTTCTATATACACTATATTGCCCAAAGTATTATCTCCGCCCTCCCAATCATGTGATTCAAGTGTTCCAATCCCCTCAGACTGCAAAAAAACAGACTGCAGAGACACAGGAGAGAGGAGGGTGACAGACTTCAGAGACACAGGAGAGAGGAGGGTGACAGACTGCAGAGACACAGGAGAGAGGAGGGTGACAGACTGCAGAGACACAGGAGAGAGGAGGGTGACAGACTGCAGAGACACAGGAGAGAGGAGGGTGACAGACTGCAGAGACACAGGAGAGAGGAGGGTGACAGACTGCAGAAACACAGGAGAGAGGAAGGTGACAGACTTCAGAGACACAGGAGAGAGGAGGGTGACAGACTGCAGAGACACAGGAGAGAGGAGGGTGACAGACTGCAGAGACACAGGAGAGAGGAGGGTGACAGACTGCAGAGACACAGGAGAGAGGAGGGTGACAGACTGCAGAGACACAGGAGAGAGGAGGGTGACAGACTGCAGAGACACAGGAGAGAGGAGGGTGACAGACTGCAGAGACACAGGAGAGAGGAGGGTGACTGGATGCAGAGACACAGGAGAGAGGAGGGTGACTGGATGCAGAGACACACTAGAGAGCTGGATGACATGATGCCAAGAGACACATGAAATAGGTGCACTCCTCCCTTGTACAGCAAGATTGGATTGGTTCCTTTCTATATACACTATATTGCCCAAAGTATTATCCCCGCCCTCCCAATCATGTGATTCAAGTGTTCCAATCCCCTCCATATCATGTGATTCAGGTGTTCCAACCCCCTCCCAATCATGTGATTCAGGTGTTCCAATCCCCTTCATGGACACAGGCGTATACAATCATCCCCTAGGCATGCAGACGGCTTCTACAAACATTGGTGAAAGAATGGGTCGCTCTCAGGAGCTCAGTGACTCCAAGCGTGGTCCCGTGATAGGTGGCCACCTAGGCAATAAGTCCATCCGTGACATTTCCTGGCTACTAAATATTCCACGCTCAACTGTTAGTGGGATTATAACAAAGTGGAAGCAACTGTGAACAACCTCAACTCAGCCACCAAGTGGTAGGCCACGTCACATGACAGGGCGAGGTCAGCGCATGCTGAAGAGCACAGAAGTTGCCAACTGTCTGCAGAGTCAATAACTAAAGACCTCCAAACTTGGTGTGGCCTTCAGATGAGCACAAGAACAGTGCGGAGAGAGCTTCATGGAATGGGTTTCCATGGCCAAGCAGCTTAATCCAAGCCTTACATCACCAAGTGCAATGCAAAGCGTTGAATGCTGTGGTGTAAAGCACGCCACCACTGGACTCTAGAGCAGTGGAGACATGTTCTCTGGAGTGACCAATCACACTTCTCTGTCTGGCAATCCAATGGATGTGTCTGGGTTTGGTGGTTGCCAGGAGAATGGTACTTGCCTGGCTGCATTGTGCCAAGTGTAAAGTTTGGTGGAGGGGGGATTATGGTGTGGGGTGGTTTTTCAGGGGTTGGGCTTGGCCCCTAGTTCCAGTGAAGGGAACTCTTAAGACGTCAGCATACCAAGACATTTTGGACAATTTCATGCTCCCAACTTTTTGGGAAGAGTTTGGGGATGGCCCTTTCCTGTTCCAACATGACTGCACACCAGTGCTCAAAGCAAAGTCCATAAAGACATGGAGGAGCCAGTCTAGGGTGGAGGAACTTGACTGGCCTGCACAGAGTCCTCAACCCTCAACCCCACAGAACACCTTTGGGATAAATTTGAGCGGAGACTGCGAGCCAGGCCTCCTCCCCCAACATCAGTGCCTGACCTGACAAATGTGCTTCTGGAAGAATGGTCCAACCTCCCCATAGACACCCTCCTAAACCTTGTGGACGGCCTTCCCAGAAGAGTAGAAGCTGTTATAGCTGCAAAGGGTGGGGACAACTCAATATTTAACCCTACGGACTCAGCTTGGGAGGCTGTCACGGATCCAAGCCGCACGCACACACCCACAGCAACTAGCTAACCGAGGCGTGCACGTCTGGCCATGACTTGGGGTAAAGAGGGAATGAGGGGGACTTTGAACATATAAGACTGGCCGTGATACACTTTCACAGCCCGGACTACCTCTGGTCACCACTAGAGGGAGACTCCACTCCAATCCAGCTGGCTGACCACACACAGGCAGATACAAATCTTATATACAATCTGGTGCACTCTAAGGGTTGGGGAGCAGTCTAGCAATTGGCACACCCTTCTAGGATTCCTCCAGCTATCCTACAAGATAGAACCTCAGTGTTAATCACTCTTCCACTGTCCACACCCCCCCACACCAGACACACCACAAACGGTAGCTTGCCACCACCCAACAGTTTGTCCGCAGACTGGTCTGCTGAGCCACCACATACACACAGGTCTCCGTCTGGCAGATCTGCTACTTTACAATCTGCATGCAATCTGCCAACACACAGTGCAATTGCATACAGATTGGCAATGAACTTAGACCGAGCACATATAGACACTGTAATACCATAATCTCTCCAGAGATATGAGCCAAAGCTTAAGTACCCAGAAGTCACTTATTAATTTTATGATTTAATATACCGAAAGTGGGCAGTGCATAAAATATGTACAAAGTATAAAAAGTTATAAATAATACAGAAAATACAAAAATTGTGTAATGGGCTATTGACTATAAAATAAAAGAGACTAAAGACAGAAATAAAACTTATACTAAGAGTTATCCTGCGACTGGAGCAAGTCAGTGATAGAATTTCCGACACCAGCGCATCAGTCCAATTGCAACAGTACCAATCACTGTTCAGCTGTCACAGTCAGGCACCATATAACCATTTTCTGCATTTCTCTGGGATTCTACATAGGCTACAAATACAGTTTTACATGCAGGTGTAGCCTACAGTGTGTCCAATCAGAAGAAAATATTTTCATCTCTCTGCAACTAATATTTTTAGCTTTCGTGAGAGATGAAATATTTTCCTTTGATCTGGGTATATAAGTCATAGCTCCCAGACACATTGGAGCCACTCCTGGTCTCCTGCTGTTTCCCGAAGCCAAAATGGCTAGAGCTGTTCTTTTTAGATTTCAAGAAGGTGGCAAACTCTGGCTACAAAGGTGACAAGGTTTTATTGGCATCTAGGTATCACCTCCAGCCTAGAAGCTGCTCTGTCCTTTCAGATGCTCTTTGGTGAACATATGTCTCTGACTGAATACTGAACACTTATCTGTAATAACATGGAATTAAACTAGATCTACAATGACATTTCTACTGATCACATCACATCTCAGCAACCCAAATCTTACATTTATGTCACAGAAGCCATTAAAGGTCATGTGTGTGGAAGGCCGGCGGCTCAATACTTTTGGCAATATAGTGTATGTTACTATAAGAGATTGGCTACATGTGGGAATAAAAACAAATTATGTGTTACACTGCTGAGATGCAAACATATTTTCAGTCAGCCTGTGTTATGTGTGCTAAATCATATGTATAACATTCCACTCTGTCATAATACAATGTTTAAATCATAACTCATAAATATTCTATATCAAAAATGTGTTCTTAAAGTAATGTTCAGTTCATCATCAATAATCTTCCTTCACCAAATGGAATTTGTTTCCAAAACCTCAGTGCTGAAACAATAGCAGCTCAGTACACCATCGATTTCTAGATGCTGATCTCAAATCCCCAGTGCTGCAAGTGCTCTGTGTCACGATTGCGGCGTCAGACCCCCAGACCTTCTCACCAAACTCGTGACCAAAGGACTAGCCAATCTAAAACCGTGATGTCACGTGCCTAACAATGCCATACCTAGCTGCACCCTGCACAACAATTTTCTAGCTAATTGGACCACAATCGATGTACCGGCAGCCTGAGCGATTGTTACTGGGTCAAGTTAATTACGCAATTAACCCTTCACACTGCCACCACCTCCTTTGTGCAGAGAAAGAGGAAACTCGGCAATCTCATCAATAACACTATAATGGTTGAGGTAATCGTCTGCATAACACGGTTATACAGACGGTTAAACAAACACAGTAGCATTCTCTTTAGAGGCAGGAATTCATAAATTGCAATAAAGCGCTATAGAAACAGTTCAACACTTTCAGAAGGAAAGATTTATTACTAAAATGTCAAACGGGTGCAATAAAAATATTTACAGAAAAGAGGTAACTAAGATATATATATATATATATAAACATACAGAGACCAACAACGCAGCAAAGAGATATCAGAGAGAGGTGAAAGTGTTAAGGTTATTGCCAGTCCTTGGTTAGCAGATCCAAGTTTCAGAGCAAAAGGGCACGGGTCTCCCCAGGTGGTATTGATGTGAAAATGGGAGACGTCTTCAACTCACTTCTCTTAGGCCTGACAGCCCAATTTGTAGTTCCCCAGCAGGGGGTGTCTCTGATGTCAAGGACCAATACCCCATGTAGGGCGTGGAGGTCTGGGTGTCGACCTAAACTAGAGCAAAAATCTCATGTAGTTCATATTTGGGCTCATAACTTTTCCTATGCACAAGTGACATTCCACCCGTGGGTAGATTATTATGCAGACACGTCTGAGGATTGATTAGAGATGAAATATGTAATTCTATACTGAACGGTTCACAAGATCTATTTTTCTGCTTTCCTATGTATTTGAGACAAGGCGATTGACCTATCAAATTGTTCGCCTTCTCATGGCCAATCTGACGATACGCCCAGTTTTTATGTAAGTCTCTCATATTCCATGATATGAGACATAGGGGAAAAGTGGATTTTAACAATGGTTATCTGATTCTGTCACCTACGCTGAGTTAGGTTTATTAGGTTGGAATCTCTTTCAACTCCTGGGAAAGCTTGCCTTATCTCTTCCGAGGTGTTACAATTTGAAGGTTCTTTGGACAGGGAGGCCCCGGCTCCCTTGGGGGGCTTTATAGCTCCTATGACCCTTCTGTGAGACACATACACACTGGGCAAATGTCGCTGGGACTCTCAGAAAGGAAAGGGGGAAGATGAGGGAGAAATATATTATTATAATATAGTATAATATATATAATATAATATTAAATATCCAGCACTATCCTACTTTAATTGTAATACCCCACCAAGTCACTTTAACCGTCCTTCCCCTGAAGTACATACATAAATCAATCAATCTTTAAGCACACTTGGTTGCAAAAAAACCTCAATATTAGTGTATAAAGTCCCAAAATAAGTCCCAAAACTCTATATTAGTGTATAAAGTCCCAAAATAAGAGTCCAGAAATCAAAGTCCAAATAAATCCCAAAAAGAATATATCTTTGTCAGTACTTTCTCAAATCTTCGTGTCTCCAAACCGCCTTTTTGGTATACTCCAAAAACAAATCTTCATATACCTCAAAGAAAAAAACTCAACATAGTGCTTTATCCAAATAATATAAAAAATATAATCAAAGTACCACACGTGTTACATGCGAAAACACTACCGTGCCACAGCAACCGTGAAACAAGATACCTCTGCCTTAAATATTAATCCACTGCACAAAAATAACAGAAGTGCATAATTACCCTCAAGGTAGTAACACAAGCATTGATGAGATTATTTCCAACCTTTTTCCTTCAGCCTTTCCAGCCACTTCCCACAGACCTCATAAATAGACCAGGGATCAGTGTATATAATAAATAATCATAGTACTTTATTATAGCAACTTACATTAAAATAAGAAGAGATCAGCTTCCACACACAAAGCAATTGATTCCACAATCGAGCCTCTCCTCAGTGGTGTTGAAATATCCTCACCATACCACTTCAGAGAAGGGATAGGTAATTGGTGATAGGTTCCCCACTAACCATACACCTGTATGGAGGATTCCA